GTAGTAGCAACACAAGCCGTCGTAGCAAAGTCACAGCAGCAGCAACAGTAGCAACACAAGCCACCGTACACAGCAGCAGCAGCAGTAGATAGTGACCGGAGTAGAAAAGCAGCAGTGGGGTGTTCACTTCAGACTTCATCTTATTGCGATTGCTGTTGCTGTTGCTGCTGTTGCAGTTGCCGTTGTTGTTGTTGGTGGTGTTCATGTTTGTGTTGGCGTCGGTGTTGCTGTTGCGCTGGTGGTGCTTCTAGTGGTGGTGGCGCTGCAGCTGCTGGTGGTGGCGGCAGTGGAAGTGATGGTGTTGGCTTTGGTCTTGTTGTTTGTTGCTGCTGCTGTGCTGGTAGGTAGCTTCCAGGATTTAAGGTTTGTATGGGTTAATTTAGTAAAGGTCTATATCCATATAAGGTTCCCGACAACCCCGAAACACTGGGTCCTTCATCTCCGCAAGCAATCTAGCTTCTTCGGCTGCAAGCTGTTCCAGCTCTGCTTCAGTGGATACATCAGCCACACCAGCGTCTAGGGTAGATGTGCTCCATGCTCTGGATTGGACAGGACCCGACATCTGGTCAACGGCGCTACAACAAGGAGTGCTGCGAGGCCTGTGGCTTCAGGAGTGGGGCTGGTTTCTAAAGTGCACAATGTGCCGATCGCTGGCAGTCACATAAGAATCTTTCCGGGCGCAAATTAGTCGACGATCCAGCAAAGGCAGGCATATAATGCCCAATTATGGGTGTTCAAAACACCTTCAAAGCTTGTTAGAAGTCTCACAGCCCGGAAGCAAAAAACCCATAAATTATTTATGGGTTTTTACGCGTTATTTATGGGTTATTTACGCTTTATTTATGGGTACCGCTTTTTTGGAAAAAGTAGGGTGTTACACAAATATGGGTTTTTATGGGTTGGATTTATGGGTTTTCACGCTCAGTTTATGGGTTATTTATGGGGAAATATGGGTTTTTACGGCCACCGGCTAGTATAAATTTATGTTAAAGCCTTCAAAGAGCTATAAAGATCTATATAAAGTCTAACAAAAGCCACAAGCCCCATACATCTATCGGTCAAAAGTCACCCAACAAATTCTGAATTCCTGATCCCTGGGCCTCTGGGTTCCTTTCTAACCAGATCCCCGACCCTTCCTGTGGTTTCCGAGCACCTGTGAGATTCTAGGGAGCGACAGGAAAGGATTTGGGCACCAAGGTTTTCCACTTTTCGGGAACCTTGAGCTTTGTGGATCCTCTCAAATACACAAAACACTCTTTGAAGTTCACATTCGACCAAAGCTCCGGGTTCGTATTGTAGGACATAGCACGAAACGTGTCTGTCCCCGGCGGCACAACCTCCGGAAGCTCAGGCTGCCCTTGGCCTGTCATCCTCAGCTTGTCGAGGTTGTCGGCCACATGGCAGGCGAATCTCATGGGATATATCCTGGGCTGAAAGGGTCATGGATATTTCGGGTTAAACCACAGCACCATTCACTACATGGGGCGAGTTTACATATGGGCTATTTACCAGGGATCTCGATATCTACTTTATGGGTATTTGTTGAGTGGTTCTGCTTCGGGCTTTCACATTGAATGGTTCGAACTGGGTCTTTATGTCGGGGGTTTCCACTTTCGGGCTTTACATCGGGGCTCCTCTTTGGGCCTGTATGTTCCGCTTCTCGGCTCGGGGTCTTTATGTGTGGAAGTACTTTGTGCATATCAAACTATTAATAACTTTAACATGATACACAATTGTGTATCATGTTAAAGTTATTATTATTTATGGTATTAATTTATATATTATTATATACATATATTTAAGTGCTATATAGCTATATCTATCTATATTGTATATATATGTATATATATATAGATATACGTACATATACATTTATAACATGGTACATATATATATATATATATATACACAATATAATGTGTATATATATATATATATGTAGATGTACGTTGGGTCGATGATTTCTATTAGGTGCCTTGAAGCAATCGGGCTGCTGCGTTTCACGAAGAGACGGTGTTGCGGTGTACTTCTCTTTACCATCCTCGCCTCGCTTCCTTTTGGTGGTCTTAACCACCTCACCCTGCTCAGAAGTCCAGGCGCGCCTGTCCAATCTCCCTGTCTCCAAGCAACAGATATTCGGACTGTTCGAGAAGGCATACTGCCTCTTAGGCGTCGGCGCTCCATACAAACCCATCCACCATTCGACTTGAAACACCTTAGCTAGCTTAGGTGACACACATACTTTTCATAGCTTGAGGGTACGGACAATAAAGACTGAGCCAGTCACTGCTTGGCAGCCGAGGATTTGGTGCATGTCAAGCATTAGGTTGCGCCACGTTGGGTGGAATTGGACGAGCGAACCACCAGGTTGTTCTAGCACGAAGCATCCCTTGAGGCTTGCAACCAGATAGCACAAAAGGGTTGTCCTGCCACAGGGAGTATACCGCATTGTTCAGAACCTTCTACAGGAGACAACAGACATGGGTATTGCAAATCCACATGAAAGCTCCGCAGGCCTCTCTAACAAGAGATTTGCTTCCTTCACAGATTTGTATGAAGAATCACCAATAGCCGAGCATTCGCAACGCTTTGATGTGCCCCTGTTCAGTCCACAGAATGACGAGCACTTCAGCGCAAATAGGGCCACGAAGCCGGATGGCGAGCCCCGAAGTATGAAGAAGCATGCCAACCTAGGCCAAGATTATTTGGAATTGTTGAGAACAGTTACATATACCTAGCTTAACAACAGCTGCTACGGTTCTGGACCGGGACACAGAAAGCCTGATGCACTCGACAAGTCCATATAATTGCTCGTGAACCGTTCTTCTTTCTCATTGTACAGGATGTCGAACTTTGCACACTTGTACATCTTCTGGCGGCAAGCATAGGTCACGTTTGCCATCCCGGCAAAGAACTCCAACAAATCCATGTCCTTATAAGATCACAGAACTCACCGAACACCAGATTTCCAACGGAACGATATAAACCTGCCTGAAGGAACTCGTCTTCGTCACGTGTGAAGATGAGGAGCAAGAGGCACAGAACGAACTCCTGGGCCAGGGTTGTTCTTGCCACAATTTTTGGAGTAAGGGTATGTAGATTCATGTATACAAAAAGGGGTTTCACACGAAAGCAGGTATCATGCAATATGTGTAATATACATACTATACCGATGCATATAACATGTGTTAGTATACTAACACATGTTATATGCATCGTACATATATATATATATATATAGATACACATTATATATATATATATATATATAGCAGAAACAGGGAGAGCGGAGGAGGGAGCAAAGTCACATGATGTGTTCCCCACACCCGACTTTGTTCCCCAGTGTCCCTGTCTGTGAAAACCATATGATGGTGTGTAGATAGATGTGACGATCCTGGCAGGTGTTTCAAAGTGCTTCTGTTTTGTGGCTGTTTGGGGTTCACACATAAAGACCAGATAGAATATGCCCACGGAATCGATGCGATCATATTGACTGTATGCTCGCTCGTCCATGTGTGCATGTGTACATACAGACCATGCACACATACATGTATAGACAAAACATGCATGATTGCATGGTGTTACTATGCATCATGTATTGAGCTACCTTGCTACACTGGCTCTGTATGTATATTACACACGTTACTGATCTTCTTAAGCCACAATAAGGAACCTGGCCCCGAACCTTCCACACCTAAACCCTCGATCCGCTCCCAACTCCTAACCAAACAACCCTATTTTAGTTGAAGGTTGATAAGAGGCTTGGGGTTTAGGGTTTATTAGGTTCCGGGTGCTGGGCTTGAAAAGCCATCGGATTTGAGCTTCTTTTTCGAACATGTACAGCCAACAAATACCCCCAAACCCAAACCCACAATTACCCTATATAATGCTTCTCACCCTGAGAGTTTCAAGCCTGCAGAAGCCTGCTTTTTCTAATCTAAAGCAAGACCCGACCATCCTAGCAAAGCCCCAGCTAACTTCCCGATTGGTATGCAGTCAACAATTCTGCAATCTCCTTGGGTGCCCGGAGCTTCGAAAGTCTCCAGACCAGAGCATCCAGATTCAACATGGTATGTGCCACAGAGGATCGAGCGGTGAACACTTCGAAATTGCTGAGGCCGGAATGATTGTGGATGCAGTGCTGCATTCAGGAATTCAGGAATTGGCCCCGATGCAAACACTCTGCTAAAGCAATTTGCGCAAGCCTTTGAACATCCCGAAACATGTCTGGCAGCACGCTTCTTCGACAGGCGCTCCACGCGAATCTTCCAGATGTCTCTCTTGAAGCGTTTGGCCTCGGCACGGAGGATGAGGTCTAAAGTGGGCTTTCGGCCAGAGGGTATCCCCTTATAAGCCTTTGTAAGTTTAGAGGGATTCCAAGGCTATATCCTGAAATTAGCTAAATTTAGTCAAGCTACTTAAGTATGACATACTTGGTGGCACTTAGATCATACAGCCACAATTACGTGTCCTGGATGAGAAACATCAGGCAAGCTGAAGTAAAGCCCGAAACTATATATAGAGTGCCATACGACTAATTAATATAGAAGCTAGGTTCACCCAAGTGTAAAAGCCCCAACCACCTCAAGGATCCTCCCGATTCTATGTGACCCAACCCAAGCACAAGCCAGTATTATAGTGAACCTGAATGATTGTTGCACAGACCTTTTCGGGATGCCCTCCCGTGCGATCGAAAGCTCCGGTGCTTCTTATGGCACAGCCACAGCGTGTCGACAACAAGCCGAGATCTGATCAAGAGGTGCAGAAGAGCATGTATGTCCGCTCATAAGCAACATATCTGGATTGCAGATGCTGGCTTGCTGGTAATGCACGAGCAGCAGAAAGCTGCAGCCTAAGCATAGAAGCATCCTCAGCGGGTGGCCTTGTTCCCCGCTCAGCTGAGGCAGCGAGCACCCCAACAAGGCACACAAACTAGACTGAAGACGCTCCATGCACTGCAGCACAAATCACACTTCTTGCGACCACTGCTATGCAGCAGATCACTTCTTCGCGATCTTTTTGATAAAGCTCTCTGCAGCAGTCTCACATGCTGCCGGCACCGTCTCAGAATCGATCGTCCATTCCTTGAACTCTTGCACGCAGTGGGTCCAAAAGGGATCCTCCAGGGGGGTTGTCAAGGTTGGGGTGCACTTGTAGATGATATACATAACAATTGGTTTTGGAACATCACAAAACGAATTCCGCATCTCCTCGAACGAGCTTGGGCAAGTGGTCTTGAGCCGCGGGCGCACGATCTTCAAGAAGGCATCGCGGATAGCATCGAACTTGGCCATGGCCATCTTCTGTGACCCCGGCCTGTACCGTCTTGCGAAAATCACGGGCTTCCCCTCCTCGTCGTCTGTGCCATCAGGACCATCATTCTCCGGCTCGGGCTCAGTGTCCTTTGCAGAGCTCTTGGCACCCTTCTTGGCGGAAGCTTTTGCTTTCGCCTTGCCTTTCGCCTTGGGGGATGCCTTGGCTTTCGCTTTGGCCTTTGGGCCGGCCTTTGGGCGAGCTGCCTTCTTCGAAGGCTCCGGCTCATCTTCCTCAGGCGAGCCCTCAGCTTTGCGCTTCTTGCTCGTCGCTACACTGTCCGGCTTCGTTTTCTTCGGCAAGCGGGTCTTGGGGACAACGGCAGGCTCTTCGTTCTCGTAGGACGCAACCCACTGATCACCATCCCAATGACCATCTTCATCCCACTGATCACCCTCATCATAGCCATAGCCGTACTGGAGCCAGTGATCCCACTCTTCGGCGCTGTAACCTCCCCCGTCAGCACCAGTCTCCCACTCAGCTTCTGCGCTCTTCTTCTTCTTCTTGTTGTCAGTGCCACACTTCTTAGCGTCATTCTTGGGTGCTGCCTTCTTCTTGTTGTCAGTGCCACACTTCTTATCGTCATTCTCGGGCGGTGCGTTCTTCTCGTTGTTGTCAGTGTCACACATCTCCATGTCATTCTCCTCATCATCACCCTTCTTCTTTCCACGCTTAGTCTGTGCCTTGATCTTGGCACGCACAGCCAACTGATCCACACGGCCAATATCGGACGCGGCAACCTGCCCCAGTTGAAATCAATGTTATCTATCTTAAAAATTACCACATGTATAGACAAACACTGGAGCCTTCTCATCTGGGGTGAAAGGATCCTCAGACCCTTTCGCAGTGTTATCCAAGACTTCTGGCGAGTATGGATTGTAAGGAAGTCGGGCATCCGTGGTGGATCCAGGGCGGGGCTTCATCTTCTTGGTTTTGCACTGCCTTAGCTGGTAGTCCTCCCGAAGCTCAGCAGCACTGGGCTCGCTCTCCTTGCGCTTGCTTGAGGGAGGCTCTGAGGGTGGCGGGGTCTCGACGTCGAAGATGTCGTGGGGGAGGGTCTCTTGATTATCAAGCACAGGTCCCAGAGATCCAGGCATGTTCTTGATGCTCGCCGAAACCTCGGAAGGTCCTGGCAGTTTGGAAAGCTTAACACAAAAACGCACACAGGGTGATTGCATTCCAAAATCAGATCTCAATCTCCACTTTTACCCGGGGTCCTTCATTTGAAGCGGAATCAACAGGGCCTTCATTTGAAGCGGAACCAACAGGGCCCACCACTTGCTTTTTCTCCTTCAGCCTGAGCAAAGAATGCCGCGCGAAACAGCTCGATCTAGATTTAAGACTACCGCACCCGTGCACACACACACACCGTAACAAACGAGCCAAGGCAGGTACTGCTCGATGCGACGCCTCAACTCAGCCAATCTCGCGACCTTGAGGGCTCTCTCGGATGCACCTCAACCATGAACTTAATCAAGTCTCCGAATTTCGATGCTGGCCATGACATGTGTGCATATTACAGAAGCAACTGAGACATTAACTGTTGCGGGTTGGGGTGGCCAGGGGCTTGAAAGTGACCTTCCAACCTGGCTTCACCTCCGCACTCCCAGCGGAAGCTTCCACTTCCGCGGTGGATCCCGGCTCCGTGGAGCCTCCATTGGACCCATCCACAACATCGGCTCGAACTTCATGCTCAGCGGTGGACCCCACAGCCGCAGGCTCTGCTGCGACCTCAGCAGCTGCCTCAGCAGGCATCTCCAAAGCCCGCCCACTGTCGTGGCTGCACTCCGTCGGAGGCGCCACGGCAGATTCATCACCATCATCGATGATAATCGGATGACTGGGAAATATCGGGTCCTCACTTGGCTGCTCAGCATGGGGTACCAAAGCAGACCTTGCGGGGCTGTGGATATCATTCAGCTCATTCAGCAAATCATGAAGATCATCGCAGTCAACAGGGCCAACACCACCAGCTGCTGCATTCACGTCTTCCTCGGCTCCTGCATCGCCACCCGCGCCCGCACTGGACGAGGGGCCCTCTGGAGCAGCCTCTTCCGAGGCCTCGTCAGAGTCGCCGTCATCATCGTAAGCATCTTCATCCTCGTCCACGGCCTGCTGCATATATCTACATAATGATTATATCCTGCGCCATGCAAATGAAAAACCTTCTGCTCATTTCTCGTCTGTCCTCGCGACTGCCGGCGGAAGCAGCCTTCCGTCTCGCCCGGTTGGCGTTCACAGCGTCGACCACTTCCTCCGAAGGGTTGCGGTTTCTTGGTCAAATGTTGAGGAGCACTGCAACTCAGGAAAGTTGTAAAGTCAGTCCTGCAGGCTGGGGTCCAAAGTCAAGCACAACTCTTGGAAGTCTGCATCCTGCTGGGCTTTTGGTCTATTTAGCATCTTTTTAATGCTTCATATGTGGCACTACCACTCACGATGCTCGTGATGCTTATATGATGAGACAGGGCACGGTGGATACTTCCCGGCGGCGGCACTTTGCCTTGATAAAGGTGAGCTGCTTGCGGATAAGCCAAGTATACTTATCGATCTCGCTCTCCTCATTAGACAACCGCTTCGTGAGATCAAGCACTGTCTTGACCTCTGCTCGGAGAGGATCCACTCCGGGCATCTTCTTGTCAGCTGCATGCATCCTGACCAGGATGGGCTTGATCAGCAGTTTGAACTTGCTCGGCAGCTTGATGTCCACCTGCTTCTCACTGACCTCGTGGATGAGTGGCTTGCCCTCACGCAAGCTGTTGCGGATATCAGGGATCGCCTCCCATTCCTTTCCGAGGCCATCGATCGAACAAGTCGACGGCATGAGGTTGGGATCCATAAAAATCCTATACAATAAATCTAGCTGTCCCCCTGTCTTCGGTTTTGAGAAGGAGGTGCAAAATCACGGTTTAGTTGGATGCAAGCTGCGCACACACACATACACGCCCATGCGCTCCAGCATATACTTCTCAATCACACAACACACATAGTATACACTCGCACACACACACACACACACCCACACACACCCTGTAAGCACACAGCTCGCTTGCTGAATCAGTGCTGAACCTCATAAGATGAGTTCCGAACTTTCATGCGATCGGCGGAAAAGAAGCCATGGCCGCCAGCACGGCAGCTGCACCGTTCTTTGTACTAGATTATATACACTGGTCGGGACTAGCCGGCCCGTTGGTAAAGACCCAAGAGTGCTACCTTACATACTTTCCGATTCAAAGGCCCAACAAAGAAGCTCGTATCTACATAGAGAACCGCCGAAACCCTGATGCAGGCCATTTGGGATTTCGGGCTCGTTCAAAAACTATGGATGCTTGTCGAGACATCTAAACGCCTTGATATATATATCCTACAGCCAGGGCTCGGTACATGTCATGAAACAGAGCCTTCCCATGACTCGATCGACGTCAGTTCCTGGCTTGATTTAAGCTGGAACGACCAGAGCGGCGCCTTGCGTGGTGTCGGGTTTGGGGGCTTGGAAATTACAGGGTTGGATGTTAAAAGGGGCCTGGATCTGGCATTCTCATCTTGGGAGTACATTATGTGCTCTTCGGCTTGGGGGCATCATGATTTACATGCACTACCTCGAAGTCATATGCACATATCGAAGGTGCACCGGGGACTTGGGCATTGTTTGGATTTCTTATGTAGCACCAAAGTATGAGACTTAAGGGTAAAACAAGGGTATTTATAAGAACCGGGTTTTTTTAGGGAAACCCAGGTTATCAGATCATCCCAATCCCAAACCTAGGTTATTTGTTTGCACCCGACAAATTTTAGGGGTCAAGACGGTCTAGGTATACATATACATATACATATACATATACATATACATATATATATATATTATTATAGTTGTTATTGTCAATATATACACTTTACCCAGATCACAGATGTGCCACATGTGGTGCAATTGACGCAGAAGGTGCAAATGGCGCGCACACAAAGTTTCAAGACACAGAAATATACACATATGTATATATGTATGTATATATATATATATACATACATACATATATGTATTTTATGCAATGCATAATAATGATTCATTTTATACCATGATTTCTATGCTCTGTTCTACATATTTCAGCGGTGCGGGGGTGCGGGGTGCGGGGGGTGCGGGGGGTGCGGGGGTGCGGG